CGAGAGAGACGAGGTTACTACAAAGACAAGACTTTGGCGGGGGAAATCTTTAGGGGAGCGCAGCACAAGGATGAGAGGCGAGAATCAGGGTTTGGGTAAGAAGCCGCGGACGTCCCGGCCGCCCCATCCCGGCGAACCAGGCACGGGGGCCCTCACATCTGGGTGTACCACGGCGACAAGACAGAGAGAAGAATCCTGGCCTAGCGGCGCCTCACTTTCTTCTCGCGGGTTTTCCTCTCTTCTCTCCGCCTCTCGAACTCCTCGAAGGAGATCTTCCCTTCCAGGTAGTCGATGAGCTCCGGGCTGAAACCCGACATGGCTCCGGGGTGCGGATACACAACACCAAACACCGGGCCAGAGAACCGGAAGAGCAGGCTTTTATCCCGCTCCGGGGCGCCGAGAGCGGTGACCCGGAGTTCTCCGGGGAAACGGGCCCGGCCGGCGCTGCAGCCGCTGCGCGCTGGTTCCGCGGGCGCATCTGGTCCGGCTTCCTTCCGGGCGGCGGGAGCGGATCTTCTGGGCGGAGCCCGGTGCGGGGGACCTCGGCGGCTGTGCGGGCTTAGGCCTCGTATTTGAGATGATTGGGGAGGTTTTGTTTTATTTTGTTTTGTTTTGTTTTGTTTTGTTTTGTTTTTAAAGGAAAAGAAAGGAGACAAAAAAAGTGCTTAAAGAAATTTTCCTTAATCTAGGTTGTTTCCCTTAATTCTTCATTAGGATTCCTACTTCTAATTCTGAATGCTTGTTCCTTAAATTAATTTGAACTTTGCTGTAGTGATTATTTTCCTAATGTAACCGTCTGCACTGCCACATGCATGTTTCACTTTCCTGTGTCTCCTGCCACAGAAGGCGAAAGTCCCCTCCCGATGTGAGCTCTAAATCTCACGTCCTCCACCAGCGGTACCATCGGTTCCGTCTTCATGGATCCTCAAACCCTCCCTTCCCTCGGGGGTCCTTCCCTCCCAGTCCGTACACAAGTTTATCAGGACTCCTTGTCCCACCGATCACTCCTACCCAAGTTTTCTTCTTTTCTTAAACTTTTAGAAAGAATCAAACGCTTGCTGTAATTACCATCCACTCTTGCTCGTTGACTCCAGGACCGGCACTGGCTTATGCAGATTATTACACGCATGGCCCAAAGTAGTCCTTAAAAATGGATGCTGCTATTCTCAAAGCCAAAGTCTTACGTCTAATAAGTAGCAGAGCCAGGATGTGAACCCAGGTCTATGTGACCCCAAATCCCCTGTGCGGAATCAATATAGCACATGGCCTTCCCTCCATGGAACTGTTCTTCACCTGCTGAACACTCCTGTGATCTGTATTTTACCTTGTATCCTAACGATTTCTCTGCTAGAGACACTGTCAGCATCTTGAGAACAGTACTACCCGATGCATCTTTGTGAACTCTAGTAATCTGTGCTTAAAACACACTTACGAATTAAATTGGATGGAATTGAAAGTGTGTTGGAAATGGGCAAGAGCGTTGAGGTATGGGGAATGCATCTTGACATAAAGCTAAGTTTAAAGACAAGTTACAAGGAGCCTGTCACTTACCCATTAGTACCTCTTTGTTACAATCTGGATGAGGATAAGAAACGGTAGGATGGCAGAATGAGAACCACGACCCCAAGACTTCTAGTTGAGAGAAAAATACCTCACAGCTAGACGTCACCCCCTTTCTCATGATGAAGAATCCTCAGGACTCTGCGTGGGTGTAAAATATGGAGGATCGCAGGGTAGGTTGGATAAGGTTCTCAACAGAAATCATTTACAGGGAAATTCTCCCCTAAATTTCTTCAGGCAGTCAGGGAACTGCATCCAAGAGGAAGTCAAGGGTTTGGTTCTAACTCTCCTGGGGGAAAAGAAGGGAATCAAGGGCAGGAAAGATGTTCACCTCATAAGAACTCTCGACTAAGACCCAGATCGCTTAGACCAACTTGTCTCATCATTAGTTCCCTGGAATATGGAATAACAATTGTGAATCTGTAGATTCACCTTGGAGAGAATAGAGAACAGGGAGCAGCAGTGGAAGGACAGCTTTTATGCTGTTGACAAAGAGACAACAGATCCAAAATGGAATCACTTGTGCTAAACCCACATCACAAAACCAAGACTTAATACCTAACTTAGTTACAGTTTGAACCCCTCTCAGGAGTGGAATCTTAAGCCGGTCCATCTGTAATTACCTGGTCAGCACTAGCAAGGTGACCTCACTGCATGATAGACCTCTGCTATCCCTAAGAGGAGGTGATCTTGCCACAAACAGTCCACTCTTTGCTGGTAACTTCCTTGCCCCACCTTCTTCTAGCTACAAAAGTCTTTCACTGTGTACAGCTCTTTGGAGCTCCTATTTTTTAGATGATGTTCAATTCATGGTTCACTGAATAAAGCCAATAAGATCTTTAAAATTTATTCTCAAGTTGAATTTGGTTTTAAACATGGAACAACTTGTGGATGTGAGAGTTACAACCCAGATTCTAGCAACATATCTTATAAAATTGTAATCTTTGTTTTTCTTTTCTCCATTTCCTGGTAAGTGATTTCTCCCCTGGTGAGTCAGAGGCATCTTCATTACCTTGAGATGAAGTGGAATTGTTCCAGAAGTAATGAAAATAGTAAGAAGAAACCTTTCAGACATTCTTACTGCTTTTGGGAGTCAAATGAAATGTCTGTAGAAAGAACATTGAATTTGTGCCAGGACAATAGAATTAAGAGTATACAGGGAGAAGGTGACTCCATCCTTTCTCCTCGTCAAGGGGAGGAAACAGAATGGGGTGTGACCCTTTTGGGGAGACAATTTTTCCATAATTCTCTCACTATTCTGCAAAAGCTTGTGACAATGTTCAATCTGGGCTATATTTTCAAAGATGTCTATAGAGCAATCAACCTTGAAAGACAGAGAAATTATCTTTCTCTGGGGCAGAGGACAGATTTGTTATGTGACCAGTACCATAAATAGTTTCTCTTGGGGCAAAGTTTGGGCATGTTGTGAGTAGCCCCTTGTAAGAGTGGGATTTCAAAGTTTGGGGTTCCTCAGCTGGGGCACAAGTGCAATATACTTGAACACACCTCTGTGTGGCTCCTGTGATACTTGGGGGATAAGGAGCGCCGACGTGGATGTAAAATCATGCTGTCTGCCGAGCCATGAGTAATAAAGTCTCTTGCCTCAGCCCAAGAGGCTCACATGTCTGACAGCATCTGTGAAACTGTAGAAGGATGGTGTGTGACTTACAAGTAGAGCAGAACTTCACGCCCTAGTTCTTGACTCCCCTAGATCTGGGATAAGGGACAACTGGACATGTCCAGAGAATGGAGTACTCCTCAAAGAGGAACGGAGTCATGGTTGAAAGGCTGTCAGAGACCTATGTAAAGAATTACCATGGGCCCCTTGGGAACCTGGATCACGTGCAAAACATTAATTTTCGTTGGAGGAAACGTGACACTTCTGCTGTTTTCCTAGCAACGGCTCTCAGCCAAGAAGAAAATCACTTACCCAGTGAACTTCTAGCAACGGGTGTAGGGACGTTTGGGTTTTCAGGATAATAGGGCAGGTGTGGGGAAATGACTGATATACAGTGCCTGAGGACCAGGTGTGCTAAACGGTCATACAAGTGGAGACTTGCCCTTTCCCAGCAGCCAACAGTACCACCATCCAGAAACTCTGGTCAGGACGGAGTCAGGCCTTCCATCAACAGCTGCCTTACAACAGCGAGTTTTCCAGCAGAAGACTGTGTGCTCCTGCCCTGAGACTGTGTAGACAGCAGGCAGAGCAGGCAGAGGGAGAAGCTGGCTCCCTGCGGAGCAAGGAGCCCGATGCGAGACTCGATCCCAGGACCCTAGAATCAAGACCTGAGCTGAAGGCAGCCGCTTAACCGACGGAGCCACCCAGGCATCCCTCAAGACATGTTTATTGAACATTTGCTACCTGCACGGCACTGTGCTAGGTCCTGGAGAAATAAAAATGGCTTGGGTATGATCTCTGCTCACAAAGACATCACAACAGTCCAGGGAAAACAGGCACATATACAGCTACTTAAAACAGAACAAATTAGGGCCGCCTGGGTGGCTCAGTGGATTAAGTGTCTGCCTTTACCTCAGGTCATATCCTGGGGTCCTGGGATCATGCCCTGCACTGGGCTCCTGCTCAGGGGGAGTTAACTCTTCCCTCTCCTTCTGGTTTGCCCTCCTGCTGGTGTGCACTCTCTCTCTCTCTCTCTCTCTCTCTCTCTCCCTCCCTCAGTGAAGAAATAAAATCTTAAAAACAGGACAAATTAAACCAGATGCAGAAATCTATTTTTGCATAAATATTTTATTATTGATATTGAGTATCAGTGAGCCACGAAAAATCTCCAGAAGACTATTGTGGAATATACAGACTAATGTTACTAGGACCCCGGTGTTTGCCAGGTAGTACAATGCTCTTTTTGTAGGAATCACAGAGAAAATGATGCAGCTCTCCATAATCATACAAGAAAAGTAGCTATCCCAAATGAAAATCTGAGAAGCAGAGTGATTCAGCCTGCACTGGTAGGGAGAGAAGATTGGTTGTAAAGGAAGGGAATTCCACCCATTTCTACTCTCCCGTCTTAAGGATGTGTGTGGAGAAAAACTAGAGCTAGAGTGTGGCTAGGATATTCGTGTAGCACAGTGTCCCGCGCTGAATATAGTGGGGGGTGGTATCTCCTGGAGGCCCCAGCAACTCCTAGAATCCCAAGTGTTTTTCCTCTCCATTTCCGCTGACCTGTGGATATTTATCACCTCTTCTCCCTTGGTATCAAACTGCGAGGTCTCTCAATAACGTAGGCTGAAAGTGGGGATGCATCTTCTTTTCAGGAAAAAGACAGATTGTAAGCCCAAATCTCCATTACATAGAATGAACTATAGTAAAAATGAGCAGAGTCTCTTTCAGATAATTTATTGATAAAAGGTAATTCTTATACATGTTTTAAAGAGAAGCTTAAAAGAAATGTAATTTAGAAGATCCCCATCTCTTCTGCCTGCGGTGTTCTTCTAACTCTTACAAGTAAGAGCTCTACGTCGGGGTTTGTGGTTCACAGAACAGAAAAAAAGTCTCCAAAAATATGCACATAAGTCACATATGTCCCAAAGGTCAATCTATTTATATGTAAATCTGGAAATGTAGAATAAAATCACTATTAATTGACAAATGAGTGGAGGGGGGGAAAGGTTGAGCCATGACCATGATTGAATTTTTCTAAAGAGAAGCTTCATCTGTAGTTTTAAAATTGCCAGACACCTGAAAGAACAAGAAAATGTTATCACGAAATAGAAAGTGAAGATTATGCAAGCAATACAATGACCCTCTTGTTTTTCTTTCTTTTCCTTTTCCTTTCTTTCTTTTTTTTTTAAAGATTTATTTATTTGAGAGAGAGAGAGAGAGAGACAGAGTGCAGTGGGAGGGTCAGAGGGAGACATAAAGAGACTCTTTGCTGAGTGCAGAGCTCAGCCTGGGGCTTGATCCCATGCCCCTGAGATCTGAGCCAAAACCAAGAGTCGGCTGCTCAACCGACTGAGCCAGCCAGGCACCCCTGTATTTCTTTTCTAATTGGAGATGTTAGGACGGGAGCACATGTAATTATGAACTATTCTCCAAATAGAAGCTTAGCTTCTCTTACAAAGTTGAACAATTCCTATTACATTACGATACGACGAACTGGGTGCTTTCTCTGTTTCCTGCCCCTAAACATTACCCCATTCCGTGCTCACATGATGTTATTTATTTGATACTTTCTCTGACACTATCTGTGAGTTAGAGATCAGTTTCTGCAATTTATAAATGAAGAAACCAAGGCTTCCAACCAACTCGTATGTAATTCTGTCTCATGCTGAAGCAGGCACTGCGGTATTAACAACTGTTCTGTTTTAGTGTCTAATAGCCTAGGGCCTCAGTGGGGATAATAACCAAGGGAACCTTTCATTAACATCCTCCTGTTTATTCTGATTAATTTCTCATTGTGGGAGCTGTCGAGTGCATATGCCACATGGTAAATTGCATTTTCCTGTTAGAATAGCCATCATTATTTTAAAAAAGCATCACATTTAAAAAGGAAATAATAATCAAAACCCTTTCACATGCACAATAAAGTGCAACATGGTATGCTTCCCCACAATTTCATCTCTACCTTGTGGAAGAATGGGAGTAGATTTTATTTATTTTTTAATTTTTTAAAGATGTATTTATTTATTTATTCGCGAAAGAGAGCAAGAAAGCAACAAGCAGGGGGAGCAGCAGGGGGGGGGAGAGAAGTTGAGCAGGGAGCATGATCCGGGGCTCCAACCCAGGACCTGGGTTCATGATCTGAGCTGAAGGCAGAGGCTTAACTGACTGAGCCACCCAGGTGCCCCTGGGAGTAGATTTTAATTATGATTTAATTCCCTTTTTTATTCAGTCAAATGAAAAGCTAATAGACTCGAATCACAACGTATTTACTTGGAATGCACCATACCTGGGTTTTTGTAAATGGTAAATATTTATTTGACAGGAATGTTAAGGTAATATGAACATCAAAACTCAAATCTTAACCATAAATAAATTTCTGGGGTTTTTTTCTATGAGGAAAATGCCATCTTTACTAGTATTTTACTCCCCCTAACCCACCCCGGGTGAGGAAGTACAATTTCAAGTACATGTTTATTACTTTTTTCTAAGAAGAACCATTTTTTTAAACTTTTCTATTAAATCCAACTGCACTGTTTAACATTTTACTTTATATGTGATTTCCCACATAACTTAGCTATATGATCTGGTATGAAAAAGATAGGTAAAAGTGTATAGTATTACACTGTATTTACAGTAATAATTCAAGGGAAGACTGTCCGGCTCATTTGGTAGAGCCGGTAACTCTCAACATCAGGGATGTGAGTTCAAGTCCTATGTCGAGCACAGAGATTCCTTTAAAGAAAAAAAAAAGTGATAATTTTTTCAATATAGCTCTTCCCAGAAAACTGTGCTTAAAAAATCATAAGCTGTCATTTCTTTCTTTTTTTTAAGTTTTGTATTTTTTTAAACATTTTTTAAAAGATTTTATTTATTTATTTGACAGACAGAGATCACAAGTAGGCAGAGAGGCAGGCAGAGAGAGAGGGGGAAGCAGGCTCCCTGCTAAGCAGAGAGCCCGATGTGGGGCTTGATCCCAGGACCCTGGGATCATGACCTGAGTTGAAGGCAGAAGCTCAGCCCACTGAGCCACCCAGGTGCCCCTCTTTTTTTTTTTTTTTAAAGTCCCAACATGAGGCTTGAATTCATGACCCTGAGATCAAGACCTGAGCTGAGATCAAGAGACATCTAACCGAGTCACTCAGGCACCTCAACTATTATTCATTTTTAAAACCAGACCATGAAATACATGAACCAAATCCAAATATTAATAATGATGATTATCATCAGAACTGAGAACATATTCCTTTGAGAAAATAAAAATCATTTTCTAAATAAATACTTTCAAAATCTCCTTTTGACTGAGTTGTATAATTGGACAGATTCTAGGGATAAAGGGATAACTTACCTGTGTTCAGCGGAAACACTCAGCCTTTGACGTAATTAGGAAAGGAGTTTTTCTGCTCTTCATAATCTGCAAATGCAGAAGCAAGAAGTTCTGATTGGAAAGAGAGAGGTCTAGGATTCCCATTCATGGAGAAAGTGTTTGGAAACCTCCCAAGATCAAGACCTCTTCCCTTAAAATATGCCTGGAGGGTTCTGAAAAACTGAAGAAAGAAAGAAAGTGTTCAGTGCCATATGTAAATGAAACATCAAAAATACTCAGAGACAGATATTTTTTCCCTCTCTTTTTCCCCTCTGTGAATTGACTTGAGGGCTAATCTAGGACTCAGGAGGTGGAACACCCGGAAATAGAAATACACACTTTGGCTACTTCTCCTCCTTCCCTTCTGATGTGGAAATCAAAGGCAGAAGAAAAATTATTAAATTTCCTTACTACTTACAGCCCATTGACAAGTCCTTGAAACAGGCAGAGGGACATTCCTCTAGGGAATCAACTGCCTCAATGTTGATATTCTGCTAAGGGCAAAAGGCAATCTTAGCCCAACGCCCATAATTCTGTAAATTACTTTAACATATGAGAATTCCTTTGGAAACTTCCTTTATCTCTACCCCCCAAGATACCTCTTGGCAATCATTCCCCAGGTATATGACCCACCCATACACATCTGAAGGGTCTCATGACTCAGGTTGTATTGGACAGTAATAAATGACCTTTTCCCAATAACAGCTAGCCCTCTCAAGATCCTGGAAACCTTGCTTACAAAGTTTCTTAGAGACTGATGCTGTCCCTAACCCCCTCCCACCTTGAAAGTATATAATGGGCCACTCCTCATGACCCCGGTGCAGCTCTTTCTGCCCATGGGTCCTGTCCCCGTGCTTTAATAAAATTACCTTTTTGCACCAAAAACATATCAAGAATTCTTGGCTGTTGGCTTCAAACCCTGACATTCCTTCCTACATCACCCTCCACTGTCCTTTACCTGCCTTCTTTCTGATATTTCAACGCTAAACAAGATAATTCAACATTCTTGGTAGAGATTGAGAGGAATATCATTTTTTTAACAGCATCATAGATAGAGGGTTTATTGTAAACCACCTCTGAAACACTTAAGTCAGGGATTAAACTGAATTTCACAGTGATCAGAGCTCCATGCCTCCTCTCTGACTGAAGGTGAGATCCCAGGCATTGTTTTCTATGCTAGAACTGTAAGACGTGCATTTTCCAGCTTTCCTTTAGGAAAGGGATACACAGAAGGTTGCAAAGGGCTACTTGGTTGTTTTAACCTTACACTGTCATATTTCACATCAGTTTCCTTATGGAAACTGTATTTTGAAATAGTAAAGTTAGCATGTTTATTGCATTTGGCATATTTTTTTAAGGATTTTATTTATTTATTTGACAGAGAGAGAGAGAGATCACAAGTAGGCAGAGCAGCAGACAGGAGAGCGGGAAGCAGGCTCCCTGCTGAGCAGAGAGCCCGATAGGGGGCTTGATCCCAGGACTCTGAGATCTTGACCAGAGCCGAAGGCAGAGGCTTTAACCCACTGAGCCATCCAGGTGCCCATATTTGGTATATTTTTAAAAGAGAATTTTTGCTAGTGTTTTGAATTCTTTTTCCTAGATAACTTTTATTGAAAATAATGTGGGGAGGGGGGCTCCTGGCTGGCTCAGTTAGTGGAAAGTGCAACTCTTGGTCTTGGGGTTGTGGGTTCAAGCCCCACATTGGATGTAGAGATTACTTAAAAATAAATCTTTAATAAAAGAAAGAAAATAATGCCTGGTAAATCGATAAGAATGCAGATCAATTTTCAGTTTTTCCAATTGAGCTTTGCATGTGTTGGTCATATGAGACTGTTTTTTCATCAGTTCAATCTGAACTGTGCAAAAATCAGTTCCCTGCTATGTTCTTGATTTTGTATATCTATGACAAATCCAGGCTATAAGGTCAATGCGTATGTGAGATCATTTACAAATGTAATGTGCTGTATTAGTATAAAATCATCTCTGAATATAAATTTGTTTCTCCTTACAGAAACAGATGTAAATTGGCCAAAGGAACAATAGGGTACCAGCCACTAGGCTAGCAAAGCCCTTGACCAGTCCTGTTAAGGAACCGTCAGCAGCCTCCTCTCCACTGAGCTCCAGCAGACTGCAGCTCCAGCAGACTGCAGCATGCATACGTCCAAAGACGTGCCAATTTCACCCTGTAGCCCAGCAGGTCCCAGTGCATGCTCTTACCAGATCTCGGTTTCTGGGGTTGTTGAGTGACTTCCATTTCTCTTTGTTTCTCAACGTGGCTCCATGCACAAGCCCAAGTAGCACCAGGGCAACACACAGCAGCAGGAAGGCTTTGGGCATGGTGGAATGCAGCTGAGAAGAAGGAAGGACCAGGGAGATGTCAATGGTTAGAGAGAGAAGACAGAAAGAGAAAGAAACGAAAAAGGAGGAGGAGAGAGAAGAAGAAGGTAAAAGAAGGGAGGGGAGGAGAGAAGGGAGGGCAAAAGTGGAAAAGAAAAAGAGAAAGTATTTTTAAAGAGAGACAAGAAGGAAGAAATGGTATATTTGTTCCCCTGAATTTTGCAGCCCTCTTTTTTTTCTATGTTGATTTGCAGATGAAGAGCCCCCCCCCAATTCAATTGATTACCTCAAAGGAGTCCATGATGATGAGAATATTATACAGTGATAAGCAAAGCAATTATGATACAACCTAGAAAGTCTGAGTATGCCTTTTCATCTTTGGAAATAAATGCACTTTTTCGTCTCCAGAGAAAGCACAATTCTTAAAAAGCAAAAAGAAAAAACCTTGAATTACTTAAGTGTTAAGATAGCAGTCTTGAAAAGTGAAGGAGGAGGAGGAGGAAGAGAAGAAAGAAAAGAAAAATATGAAATATTTTAAATATGAAAAAAATGAAGAAGGAGGAGGAAGAAGAGAAGAAAGAAAAGAAAAAATATACCCCAAACTGAGAAAATACTGTACACACAAGTCTGGGACAGACACATAGCACACAGGCATAACCACAGATTTTTTTCCCACCCCAGTGTGTGAAATGGAAATAAACACACAGGAAAGGCTGATGAAACTTACCCGGAGTTGGGTTTTGGCTGGCCCTGGTTGGCTACCCTGTTTACAATCTGCAAAGCAACTCATGGCTACTTATAACCAGTGGACCGGCTGCAAGTGGGAGTCAATGACGTGAGCAGGGACAATCGAAAAATAATGATTCCATTCTCATGCCTGGCACCAAAGACCCTTGAGATTCATGTCTTCAAGCTTCCTCAGGGTGACAGTGAACTTATATGTCTTATAAATACAGTGGCCACTCCTCTAATCTCTGAACATTTTATGTGGTTTTTTATGAAACACACAAGGCACTTCTACACAGTAAAGTGGCTTTTTACTTTTTCACTCTTAAGGGAAGGGTATACACAGCAGCTGGCAATATGATGATGATTACCCACCTAATAGAAGGCTCCTTTAGAGATACCAGCTTTTTAAATTAACATCATTTTTGAACAGGAAATTCTATTGCAAGAGATAAAATTGTTCTTTGTGACCTACACCTTATAGTTCTTCTGAGAATCTCAAAAAGCATTACAGGTTTTAAATAGCAGCATGGTTTATCATAAAAACCCCTTCAAAATAGAGCAAAAAGAGAGCATGTGTTTCTTGGAAAAAAAGAACAGTTGCTATACCCATTCTTGCTGTATAAATGCCATCCGAAGAAAATGGTAGGGTAGAGAAATGGGATTTGAGTTGCGAGTTGCTTCGGTTGCAATAATTCAGAACAACCCAGGACAAGGTCTTTGTGAGAAGGCTAGTAATCTGGACTAGAAATTAGAATACTCGGCTGTGGTCTGTCTTGCGTATTGACCCTGGGCTAGTCACAATGACCTACATTTGTTCATTCCTTTCTTCATTCATGCAGCAAACTTTTTAAAAAGATTTATTTATTTACTTGAGAGAGAAAGAATGTGAAGTTTGGGTGGGGGGAGGGGCAGAGGGAGAGGGAGAGGGAATCTCAAGGAGACTCCCCGCTGGGCTGAGCACAGAGCCCGATGTGGGGCTTGATCTCAAGACCCTGAGATCATGCATGACCTGAGCTGAAATCAAGAGTCAAACCTTCATCCAATGAACCACTCAGATTCCGCTGGGGAACAAAATTTTATTGAGTGCCTACTATAGGCCAGGCACTGCTTTGAGGATAAAATGTTAGGAATAATAGGTTCTGCCTTCAATAAATTAATAGATTAGTGGGCAAGACAGAGATAAATCAAATCATTATACAACAAAATGTATAAATACAAATGAAGAGAATATCTACGAAGAGAAATTGGGCGCTGTGAGAGGTAGAAGAGGGGGCTTTGATTCCGTCTCAAGAGTCAGGAAAGGCTTCTGTGAAGAAATGACCTTACATCTTTTAGGTGAGGAGGAGTTACCGAGGCAACCTAGGGAGACAGAGGGCGAGAGTTTCAAACAAGGTGAACAGCTGCGCTAGATTCTGTGGCCGAAAGCAGTATGGCACACCAGAGCGACGGAAGATGAATTATTGTGCTGGGAAGAGCGGGGGAGTCTGCTGAGACATGGGGCTGGAGAGGTCGTCAGATTATGATCTGTCTGCTGCGAGCAATGCTGACTGAAGGGTTGTAGTATCCAAGCAGCTTGATCAGACTTGCAGTTTTGAAATACTTTTCTGGTTCCAGTAAGGAGGAGAGATTGAGGTAGGAAAGAGGGATGTAGAGGACCAGTTAGGTGTCTACTGCAGTGATTCAGGCAGGGAGATGGTAAACGGGATGAGGACGGTAACACAGATGTAAAGACGTGGGAAGACCTGAGAGATATTTAGAAGGTCTGAATGCGATGGACTAAATGCTATGGAAGGCCAAGCTGGGCGGAAGAGAATTTCAAGAACAATCCCTGGGTGTCGGGATTGTGCCGCTGAGTGGACGACAGGGCCATCCTCTGAGATGTCCAACACTGGCGTGGAGGGAAGAAGATCACGAGGTCCACTCTGGACGTGCGTTTGAAGAGCCTTTAAGATCTTCATGAGGTGGAGAGTACCTTGTTGGATACACAGTTCTGGAGACCAGAGGGGAGATCTGGGGGGAAAATGTAAATATGGGAATCGTTAGCATGTAAATGGGTGAGATTACCTCAGCAAAGATTAGAAAATGAGAAGAAAATTCGGCCTAGGACTTGAGTTTTGAGACTTTTTACTACGTCATCTCTCCTTAAAACTCCCAGAGTTTGAAGTTCAAGTACTTCACGATAGGAAATATGAAACTGTTAATAAGATTACAGCCAAGTCGTTATACTATAAACTCCTTAGACAGTGCTCAACCTTATACTTCCTGTGCCAAGCACACGGAGCCCAACACATAAATGATACATTCTCTAAAATGGGAAAGACGGAGTAAGTAAGGATAGATTTTCACAGCCATTTATCTGTGAATATTTTCTAACTTTATCCCCATGTATATAAAAAACACAGCTCATTTTTTCCCATTTAAGAGCTCCCCATTTATGAAATATTTATAGGCATACCTCAACGATATTGTGGGTTATGTTCCAGACCTCCTCAATAAAGTGAATACCACAAAAAAGAGAGTCAAACGAATTGTTTGGTTTTCCAGTGCATATAAAAGTTATGGTTGCACTATACTACAGTATAGTAAGTGTGCAAGATCACTGTGTCTAAAAAAAACAAGGTACATACCTTAATTTAAAAATGCTTTGTTACTAAAAGAAAAAAAAGAAAGCTAACCATCAGTGAGCTAACCTCTTTTTGCCGGTGGAAGGTCTTGCTTTGATGTTGATGGCTGCTGACTGTTGGTGGTTGCTGAAGGTTGGGGTGGCTCTGGCAGTTTCTTAAAATAAGATAAGTGAAGTTTATCACATCAATTGACTCTTCCTTTCAGGAACGATTTCTCTGTAGCATGCAATGCCATTTGATAACATTTTACCCACCTCTCAAGTTTTGCCATGAGGTTGCAGCAACTCAATCCCATCTTCAGGGTCCACTTCTAACTCCGGTTCTCATGCTATCTCCATCACATCTGCAGTAATTTCCTCCATCGACATCTTGAACTCCTCAAAGTCATCTACGAGAGTTGGAATCAACTTCTTCTTCCAAACTCTGTGAATGTTGCCATTTTGACCTCTTCCCATGAATCACAAATATTCTTAATGGGATCTAGAACGGTGAATCCTTTCCAGAAAGTTTTCCATGTATTTTGCCGAGATCCATCAGAGAAATCGCAGTCTATGGCAACTATAGCCTTATGAAATGTCTTTCCTTGACCCATGGGCTACAGAATGGATGTCGTGTTTGTAGGCACGAAAACATTAATCTTATTGTACATCTCTATCAGGGCTCTTGGGAGATCAAGTGCATTGCTAATGAGCAGTAATATTTTCAAAAGAATATTTTTTCTGAGGAGTGGGTCTCAACAGTGGGCTTAAAGTATTCAGTAAGTCATGTTATAAACAGATGTGCTCCCATCAGTCTTTGTTGTTCCATTTTTAGAGCACAGGCCGAGTAGATTTAGCATAATTTCTAAAGGCTCTGGGATTTCCAGGACGGTCACTGAGCACTGCTTTCATTTACAGTCACCAGCTGTATTAGCCACTAGCAAGAGAGTCAGCCCGTCCTTGCAACTTTGAAAGCAGGCACTGACTTCTAGGATCGAGTTTGAAAGTCCGGATGGCATCTTCTCCCTATGGAAGGCTGTTTTGTCTACATGGAAAATCCGTTGCTTAGTGTGGCCACCTTGATCAGTTATCTTAGCTGGATCTTCTGGACAATCTGCGGTTTCTACATTAACTCTTGCAGCTGTACTTTGCAGTTTGATGTACTAAAGGTGGCTTCTTCCCTAAAACATCACAAAGTCACCTCTGCAAGCTTCCGACTTCTCATTCAGCTCCCTCACCCATCTCAGCCTACATAAAATTGAAGAGAATTAGGGTCCTGCTCTGGATTAGACTTTGGCTTAAGGGCATGTTGTGGCTGGTTTGATCTTCTATCCAGACCACTAAAACTTTCTCCATATCAGCAACAAGGCTATTTTGCTTTCTTTTCATTTGTGTGTTCACTGGAGTGATAGTTCTGATTTCCTTTGAGAACTTTTCTTTTGCCTTTACAACTTGGCTAACCGGCACATAGCTTTTGGCCAATCTCAGCTTTCAACATGCCTTCTTCACTAACTTAATCATTTTTAGCTTTTGATTTCTCTTCCTTTTTTCCTTCCCTCTCTCCCTCCCTCCCTTCCCTCTTTCACACTTACTTCCTTCCTTCCTTCCTTCCTTCCTTCCTTCCTTCTGGAGAGATAGAGCAAGAGTGAGAGAAAGGGGAGGAGTATAAGGAGAGGGAGAGAGAGACTCT